CCCGCTTCGAGGAGTACGGCCCCGTCATCGAGTGCGACATCGTCAAGGACTATGCGTTCGTGCACATGGAGCGCGCCGAGGACGCCGTCGAGGCCATCCGGGGCCTCGACAACACTGAGTTCCAAGGTGAGGCCATGTGCGGGGAGCAGGCGGGAGCCTCCCGAGGCACCTCCTGCCCCCGGAGCAGCCGCTCCGCTGTCCTGGGGGTCCCGTAGTGCCGACCAGGCCTGTGCCCTGCTGCTCGGGTGGGGAGCACGGGGCACCGGGGCAGCTCCTGGGGCAGCTCCAGAGGCCCCGGAGCAGCTCCAGAGGCCCCGGAGCAGCTCCCAGGGCACCGGGACAGCTCCCAGGGCACCGGAGCAGCTCCTGGGGCAGCTCCCAGGGCACCGGAGCAGCTCCCAGGGCACCGGGACAGCTCCCAAGGCACCAGAGCAGCTCCTGGGGCAGCTTCCCAGCTCCCGGGGCACCAGGGCAGCGCCTGCCCCCTGGGGATGCCCTGGCTGAGGGCAGCTCGGACCGGGGAGGCCACGTGGCCCCTGCGGCACCAGATCCTGGGGCCTCGTGGCCCCTTCCCTGGTGGCCCCTGTGGCCGTGCCGGCCCGTGCGGCTGTGCGTAGGGTGGGACAGCCCCAAAGAGGCCCATTTTCCAGGGGTTCTTACCCCAAAGAGCAGCCAGGCGGGATTGGAGGCTGCCCTGGCTGCCTCCGGCCGGGATTGGCACCGGCTCTGCCTGAGTGCCGGGGGCTCCGCGTGCCTGGGGCTGCTCCGGCGCAATGCCCCGGCTTCGAGACCTCTGCTGCTCCTGCCCGGGAGCTGGGGAGCCCCGACGCTTGAATGGGGGGCTGCTTCCCAAGGAAATCCCACGGGAATTGGGGCCCCAGGGCTGCTCACCCTCCCGGAGGGGCTAAAGGGGGATCCAGGCGGATTCGCTTCCCTGCGGCTGGGCTTTCCYGGGAAATGCAGCCCCGGCCTCTCAGGCCTTGACCCCTGTGAGCGGTCTCCGCTCTTTCCCGCAAACCCTCCCACTTCCCCCCACCGCGGCCGGCGGTGCCAACACTGGGAAGCGCCCGCGGGCTCCGAGCAAGGCCCGGGAGGCCGGCAGTTCCCGCGGGACAGGCTTTGCTCGCTGCCTCCTGGCCCGGCGGTCCCTCCTGGCTGCCACTTTCCGGCCTCCGGGGGCAGAGTCCGGCTGGCGGCTGCCTCCGCGTCCCCCCTTGGACAGCCCTCAGGGGCTCCGGCGGGGCAACCATGGCCCCTGCCCCCCCTCTAGCCTCCCTTCCGCGGCCTCCAGCCTCCCCTGCGTGGCTCAGGCCTCCCCTACACGGCTGTGGCCTCCGCTGCCTCAGGCCTCCCTTGCGTGGTCTCCTTTGACTCTGGCCAGCCTCTGTTGGGCCTCCTCTATGTGGCTCCGGTCTCCCCTGCACAGCCTCTGTTAACTCTCTCTGGCCTGGCTCGGGCCTCCCCTGTGAGGCATCTGTTGAGGCCGGCCTTCTCTCTGTGGCTCCGGCCTCTGCCGCTGGCCTCTGTTAACTCCAGCCTCTGCTGTGTGACCTCTGTTAGCTCTGGCTGCTCACGCTTAGGCCCTGTGTGGCTCCGGCCTCCCTTGCGTGGCCTCCCTTCCCTCCGTCCCGCCCCGCGCGGCCACGGCGCCCGTTCGCCGCGGCCTCCGCTCACGCGGCCCCTCTCGCCTCCGCCCGCAGGCAAGCGCATGCGCGTGCAGCTCTCCACGAGCCGCCTGAGGACGGCGCCCGGCATGGGCGACAAGAGCGGCTGCTACCGCTGCGGCAAGGAGGGCCACTGGTCCAAGGAGTGCCCCGTGGACCGGGCAGGCCAGGCGGCCGAGCTGGCCGAGGCCTTCACGGAGCAGTACGGCGCCGTGCGCACGCCCTACGCCACCGCCTACGGCGACGCCGTCTACTACGACGACGCCTACGGCAACATGGTCGACTACTACAAGCGCTACCGCGTGCGCTCCTACGGCGCCGCCTACGACGCCTACGCCGAGCAGACCATGGCGCAGTACTCGCAGTACGC